ATGAAGTTCCTAAGGTGCTCTTTGTCATGAAAGTATCTTATTTCACCGTCAATTTTGAAAGATAGTTTTGCAGGGTACATCAATCTGGGTTGGAGGTTGTTTTCCTTTCGGGCTTGAAACACATCACTCCAAGCTCTTCTTGCCTTGATGGTTTGTGTTGAGAAGTCTGCTATGATTCTGATGGGCTTTCCTTTGTATGTTACTTGTTTCTGTTCTCTAACTACCTGTAGAATTTTGTTCTTCTGTTGAGTTTCTGGAATCTTAACTACTATATGCCTATGTGTAGATTTTTTTTTGATCAAGGCTAGTTGGAGTCCTATATGCCTTGCTTATCTGTATGTCAAGTTCTTTTCTCCTGTTTGGGAAGTTTTCTGTCATCACTTCTGTAAACAGTTTTTTTGTGTCATCTGCACTGTCTCCTGTTTCTTCATTGACTCCAATCAGTCTTATGTTATTTTTCTTTGCATTGTCTAGCAGCTGTTGGATTGCTTTCTCATGGTCCCTTACAATTTTAAAGAATTTTTTCTTTTCCTGGTCACTAATTGCAATCTTATCTTCTATATCTGGAATTGTGTCTTCCAATTGCCTCATTCTGCTGCATAGACTTTCAATGGAGTTTTTAATCTCCTGGAAATCTGTTTGCATCTGTTTTATGGATTCAGTTTGTTTCCTATATTGGGATTCCATCATGTTCCTCAGCTCCTCTATTTTTTTATCTGTGTCCTCTCTAGATATATTAATCATGTCTTGCACTGTGGGCAAGATCTTTGCTGTTATGTGAGAAATTATTTCTGATTTCATTTTTTCCAGATGCTCTTTCATTGCTAGTTCAGGGAGTCCAGGTGGTTGAGTATCAGAGTGTTCCATCTCGTTTCCTTTTGGGGTTGCTGTAGGTGATCTGGAAGTCTGGTTCTGTGGCTTGTTTACCTGTCTTCTCATTTTGACCTGCGGGGGGTGGGGGTGGGGGGTTGGGTGGTGTAGGGTGGGTTTGTGTTCCTGGCACCCGAACGGCTCAGGTCCTCTAGGCTCGGAGCCGTGGCACGCCTACCTGGAAGCCTCCTGCTGCCTGCGAGCTGTGGTGCGCCAGTCTGGAGGTCTCCTCTGGGCTCAGAGTCGTGGCACGCCTACCTGAAAGCTTCCTCTACGCTAGGAGCCGCAGCACGCCTACCTGGAAGCCTCCTGCTGCCTTCGAGCTGTGGTGTGCCCACTCTGGAGGTCTCCTCTGGGCCTGTGAATAGTTTGTTAATGTTACTTGTACTCTCTCCTTTCTGTCTTCATTGACTCCGATAAGTCTTATTCTTCTTTGCATCATCTAGCAGCTGCTGGATTGCTTTCTAATGGTCCCTTACTTTTTTTAAGAAATTTTTCTTTTCCTGGTCACTAATTGTAATCCTGTCTTCTATATCTGAAATTCTGTCCTCACATTGGCTCATTCTGCTGTGTAAACTTTCAGTGGAGTTTTTTTTTGTACCAGGGATCAAACTTAGGACCTTGTGCTTGCCAGGCAGGCACAGTGCCACTGAACTAAATCTCCAGCCCTGAATAGAGTTTTTAATCTGGAAATCTGTTTAAATCTGTTTCATGGATTCCATTTGTTTCCTGTGTTGGGTTTCCATCATGTTCCTCAACTCCTCTATTTTTTTTTTCTGTGTCTGCTCTAGATTTATTAATCATGTCTTGCACTATGGACACAATCTCTGTTGTTACCTGAGAAATTATTTCTGATGTCATTTTTTCCAGATCCTCTTTTGTTGCCAATTCAGGGAGTCCAGGTGGTTGAGTATCAGATTGTCCCATCTTGTTGCCCTTTCGGGTTGCCTTAGGTGATCTGGAAGTCTGGTTTTGAGACTTGTTTATGTGTCTTCTGATTTCAAGAGATGCAACCTGCTGTGCCTTTTTTGAGGTGACTTTTTGCTCACCTAGTGGTCTTCAGTTCTCAGCAGGCTACCAAGCAGCCTTTTCTCTGCTGCTCACCACTGCACTAATTCCTGGTTTCAGAGGGGTGACCTTCTGGATCCCTGGACTGTCCTGTTGTCTGGGCGGGGTTCTGACTTTGGCCTGTGCACACTTGAGATGGTACCTAGATGTGCCTCTGGCTAGGGACTGCCCCCCTACATAGCTGTTGTCTGGGAGGGCCTTTGTCTTGGGGCTGTGCACCCTGGTTGCTGGTGTCTGAGCGGGTTTCTGGCTAAGGTCTGCATGTACTTATGGATGGAATTGGGGTGGGCTGTTGCTGTTGCTTGTGCACCTGTGCAGCTATTTTCCAGGTGGGCCTTTGGCTGGGTCCTGTGGGCCCAAGTGGCTTGGGTCAGGGTGGGGCCCTGGCTGGACCTGCCTGCAGCTACACCACTCTAGTCCATACCCTAACAGTTCTTGTGAGGTTGAAGTTAATTTGCTATTGTTGCTTCTTAAGTAGTTAGATTACTGAAATCACAAAAATTGGTGAGTGGTCTTTGTGTGTTTCATCTTTACTTTTTAGACAAAGAGTTGAAAGAAAGGACATGTGTTTCATCCATAGCTTCCAGTAAAATGTAGCAATGGAAGAACTCATTATCATAACTCACCAGGCCATTATTAGATTTACCAAGTTAAAGAAGAACTGAGGGTCATTTTTATTTTCATCATTCATGTGTTGTGATCCCTGAACTGAGGGCCTACTGCCTTCAGATTTAACATGTTCATGGTGAGGCCATAATTGGTAAGTATCACGCTGGGTGGCTCTGAACCACTGGTAGTATATGCATGACTGTCCCACTGGGCAGCATGGAACAGTCCCTTTGAGTAGTACAAGTCATCTGATGGGACAGTCATGCATGTACTACTGGTTGTTCAAGCTGGTAGGAATGTCTTAGTGAGGATCATCTTTGTAAGATAGTTTGCTTCGGAGGCCAGAAGGATCATTGTGTTACAGCAAGCAAACCTTCGCATCTCATTCTTACCCCTGCCCCAGATCTGAGAAACCATGACAAAGAGACTGCTCTGTGAAGTCAGTTCCTGGATAGTTCTGTTAGCTGGAGAGAGGCAGCTTTGGTGAGCTTGCCCTGGGAGAAGGGAAAGGGAGACGAGGGCTCCCCAGACTCTGTAGCCACCAGGGGACTGAGCGCCTTAACACTGGAACTTGTTTCTTAGAAGATTTTTCCTTGTATGTTTTTTTATAAACTCTCTCCTGTGTTACAGATTTGGAGCTGTTACACGTTTTATTACCAAAGATTTTCAGTTCAGTATTTTTATATGGATTTTTTAAACATGAAAAAATTTAAACATTTAAATGTAAATAGTATATTGAACCCTAAATACTGATTTCTGAGCTACAACACTTAATGATCATTCTGTCTATTTCCCTTATAGAATCCCATTTTCTACTTTCTTTGCTGAACTATTTAAAAGCAAGTCTAAGAGAGCATGTCATTTCACCTCTACATTCATCAATATCTCTAGGAAAATATGATCATTGTCTTCTATAAACCACAGTGCCATGATCATATCTAACAAAATGAACCATAATTGCCTGGCACCACCCAGGGAAGATCATATTGTTATGAAGGTCAAGAATGTCTTTGGTAGAAGAGAAATCTATAGGACACCTGAGGTAGTAGAAACTGGAATAAACAGCAGTAGATGTTATTTACAACTTGAGTACCAAATAACATTAAGAACACAAAAATAATTATACAATACAATTTTCAGTCCAGCTTTGATCCAAAGAAAATAAGAATATTACATCACATTTGCATTGAAAACAAAACAAAAAACAAAACACCACAATTACCAGCAAGCTGAGGGAACCGCAAACAAACTCAAACACAATAGATTTTAACATCTAGAGACAGTTCGAGTTTGAAATGTAGTGGGCATGGTGATCTACAGAGTAATACTGATTAGCTGAGGTTCCTCAGTTTATACAGTTCACATTTCTGTCAGATGCCATATTAATCTGACCAGTGATCTTCCAGTACATAAAATGGCAATGAAATATTTGCTGTGTGACTGATTTCTAAGACTTCCAGGGCTTAAGGGCTAGCTTCTAGTAGCACCTTACTATGTAAGCAAATGTTACAAAAAAGAAAAAAAAATCTCTGGGTTAAGAAAATTTGGCTTAAAAGTATCCTTTGTTATTTTAAATATATTGAGATATTTTAATTAAAATTTTTACCCCATTGAACCAATTTTATAGTATTTGTACCTATTTTGGTGTTTTGTCTTTATGGTAAGTAAAAGTTTTTGAACAACAAATAAAAAGAATGTCTTTGGTCAGTAATTTTGTTCCAATTAGCATCCATATGAAGTCTATCCATCAAATCTTTGGTTATGTCTCTACCTGAATCTAGAGCAAATACTCCTCTCATTCCCCTTTCTCCCATGTAAGTGATTTATGAAAACTAGGTCATCTGTCCTATATTCTGCATTCTGGATTTGTGTTTGCTCCCTTTGGTCCTTTAAACTGTTTCAGTGTACCATGAATGGAGCCTTGTCCCCCTATTTGAAATGTAAGTCCAAGAGACTAGACTCAACAGCTGTGTTAACATACAAACCACATACAGCCTAGCAGAGAAAACATGGCTCATAAATACAGTGATGAGACCTGGCAACACAGTTACTGATTAACCTCTACATGAGAGTTTGACACAAGTTCCATGTTAAAGGGTGTTGCATCTGCTGGAACTTACAGCTTTATTTATAGAGAATCAAAAATTCTCCAGTGGGTGGAAATATTCATTGTGATAAATTCCTTCAGAAGGAATGCCCAGATTTTCCTTCAAGTAACTGACCTTTGCAGCTTGAAAGAGACATTGTCAAAGTTAGAGGACTCCAGGTTCTTGTCTGTTCCAAGCTGTGTGTGATGACTGGTTTTTCTGATGTGGTAAGCTTCACGTTCCATTTTCTTCCTAAATGATCACTGGAATGGAGAGGAGTTAAACAGATATAATCTATGACCCTGTCATATCTGACCTCCACAGATAACAAACCAGAACTAGCACATTTGACGATGTCTTTTTCTAAAATGAAGTTCTGAAAATAATTTCTTTCTGACATTAATATGATTTAACAAATCTCTGGATAAATAGAATAAGCATGGTTCTTTTTGTTTTTGCTGTAGGAAAAGAGTAGAACCTGTATATTGTATTTGAACAAAGGCTTGATTTCCATCAGTGTGTCGAATAATTGGACTACACTATAGTATGGAGCAGCTTACTTTCTTTTTAAATTTTTACTAGTACATATTTGCAGTACATAATGATTACATTCATCATGGGAAGTTGTACATGTACATAACACATCTTAATTCTTTTTACTCACCCCACGCCTAGTCTATATACTTTCTAATCTGGTGTTCAGAAATTACTGGTTGAGGGGATGGTGGTATAGGTCAGAGGTAGAGCACTTGCCTAGCATGTGCAAGGCCCTGGTTTTAATCCCTAGAATTGCGTGCACACACACGTGTGTATATACACACATATACTAGTTTAAATTTGTTGTGTAAAATTTCCTGAGAAACACCAAGAAGTGGGATTTAGCCATAATATGTGAGCTTTGTGTTTTAACACCAGTTATGTAGGACTATAAAGGAATGACTCTGGCAGAAGAGTCACCAAGCTACCATGCCTGCTGATTTCTGACTTTACCTGGCTGTGTACAGCTGAGGTAGTGCTAGTCAAGCAGGGTGGAGTGTGAGCTGCTGCTGCTAAGGCAGAAAAGGTGGGCCTTGGGCTTCTCATCCTAAAATGCCTGTCTTGCCTTCCTCTCGAGAAAATATGAGTGATTTCAGTAGGCCCTGTGTAAGCTTGTAACCTTCAATATCCTGTTGTTTTTTACTCAGACAAGTTGAATTCCTCATCAGTGACTTCAGAAACTCAGCTCTGGTGGGCCGTGCTGATGTTGTACACTTTTTTTTTTTGGTATTAAATTTTTTATTGGTACATTGTAGGTATACAACACAATTACATTTCTCATTGGGAATTGTACCTTTACATAATGCATCTTGGTTCTTATT